TCCACACCTAGAGGAGGAGTTTAGAAGACTGGCACGTGAAACCTGACGTACGTTTATGGAGCCAAGAAGTTGTCCAAGTGAGATGAGGATCTGACCTAACAAGGGATGCAGTGAACAGAATATTGAGTCAGGACGGAAAACACTGTTTCAATGAATTATTCATTCACATGATACAATATTCTGCTCTTTGTCCTACAGTTTTTGTGATTTACACAAAACTGGCAAAGACCCAGAGGACAATGTCATGTCATTCTACAAGTCTGCCATCTTTCACGGTGAAAAAGCCTTAAAATGTGTGAGCACTTAATGAGAAAGTGGTGTGACTTTATGACAGCCTTTAAGAAAATAAGACTTTCAAGGAAACACTTTATCTCTTGATATTTTTATAGACACAGGAGACAACACGAGAACTATGCTTGGATGACTTTTGGGAAGAGATAGGTTGGTGGTATCAGCACAAGTGTAGAAAGCGATCAAGAGTGGCTGGAGAAGGAGTGTCCCCATAGGTGGCGACGTTCATGAGACCCCAAGCGGCGTGGCCTAGGCAACTGGAAGGCAGGGGCCCCCAGGATTCCATGCCCCTCCCCCACCGTCCAGTTCTGTTATTGCAACTGCAGGCGGTTACCTGGCACGCCAGGGCCCGCTCCATCACTCCTGTTAGAGTCTGCGCAGCAGGCAGTGCCTGGGGCCCTGAGCTCTGTGCTCTTGAACGTCGTTTGTGTGGTTCGAGACCCTCAAGTGTTGTGAGCTGGTGATCCAGTTGTTGCCAACAGTAAGTTAAGTACTCCCGTTGTTGTCATGCCTCAATCCTGATTAAATTTATGTGGCTTCACTTGTTTTTAATCCATCATATGCTGCGTTTCTTCTCCCCAGCCCCCAGCTCTACATCCTCTACCTCACGTCACCATGGCAGAATGTCTTGGCCCTTTATGTGGTCCGAGGGCAGAAGTTACACTGTTGGAGATCAACCAGGAGCTGCACTTAGAGCTGACCAAACAGAAGCAGGACTTCCGAGATCTCACCCAGAAATTCCTTGTATGCCAAGCTACTACCTACTACCTGGCCAACCAGCTGCAGAAATACAGTAAGTCCTAAGGGTCATGGTCAGCAACGTGGGGAATGATCACTTTCTTCCCTCTCAGAAACGGAAACTCTCCAGACTTTCCCTTGCACCCCTTTGTCAGCATAAATGTCATTCTGAGCACAAGGCAGGAAAGGTAGAAGTAGCTATTTGACCCTCATTTCCCTGAGGATGGGAAAACTGCGGCACAAAGAGTTGAGCAAATGTTCCAGGTGTGTAGTGAGCTGTAGTGTGCGACTAGAGTTCAAATCCCAGTTCTTGATGCCTCGTGAGATCTGTCTACAACAAGCTAAACTCTGTCCATTGGAATCTTTGCTGAGGTGTATCTGGTCTTGCATCACTGTCGCCTAAACGTCTGGGACTAATGACTGCCCTCAGCAAGCTTCCCTGAGGTCACCGTGGCAAAGCACTGTGCCAGTTACACTGAGGTCATGTGGTGACAGCACACACTGGGGGAAGCAGTGATAGCACCTGCTTTGAAGGAGCTAAAGGATGAGCCAAGTCCTCGTGGAAACCGTGGTCTCGATGAGTGATACCATTCAGACAGGGGCTCCCTGGTGAGAGGGAAGCTGAGTTTCCTGGGTGGAGGGTCTCCTTCCAGAATCCCAGGAGGTCATGTGACACCCTGTGTTGAGAGTCCGGATGTTTTCTGGAGAAATCTGACAATCTGCATCACCCAGTTTGTCTCTTGCTGTGCTGGTGAAACTTTGGTGATGTGGGTCAGCAGGAAATCCAGGCGACCTTGAAGGCTGGATCATGAGACATGTGGCCAAAATGAGAATGAGGGTAAGTGGGGGAGAACACCATCCCTAGTAAAACCCACAGCAGTATGTGGGGCAGGCCCTTCCTAGTGCAGAGAAGATCAGAGACTCTCGGCCAGGCTTCCTGGGCTCATAATCCATGCTGCATTTCTTTCTGTGCCTCAGTTACCCTCTCTGTCCATCCAGTGTTGCTGCATGTTTGAGATGCAAACAATAGTAAATTCTTGTAAAACTCTTACAACAGTGCAGGCAGATTGTAAAGACACTTCCTAGCATTGCAACTTGGACTAACACAGATTATCCTAGTATTTTGGCTCATGTCTTTCACGTCCTTATAGTTCTATGCAACATATTTCACACAAGTGTATCCAGAAGAATTTTCTTTACCCTTTGAGGTACTTCTTCATTACTGAAATCCCAGCACAAGGGAACCATGAGTCCATTAGTCCTAGGGTCCATCCCAACCACACAGGAAGCCACCACTTCATGCCCGTGCTCGGTGTTTCACCTCTGAGGTTGCAAGTCTTGGTAGAGTGGCCCGTGATGCAGGGTCAGTCTCAGGAGATGTGAATTCTGACCTTTGCTAATGCCACTTTGTCTTCTTTACTTCCTTTCTGTGCCTTGGAGTTTCTCGTTCCTCAGCTCTGAAATGGGGACTAATGGAATGCCATGCAGTCGGGAGGCTGAGGAATGAGACGTGGAAATCCCTGCCTAGAGCCTTGTAGCAGGGTTACCTCTGACCTTGGGCTGGACCCTGCCTCCTCCCTGGAGGGCAGTGAGCACAGCAGGGTGTGCAGCTTTCCCCTGAGGCAGCGTCTCTGTTTCCTCAGAGTGTGAAGAGTGCAAGGACATCATTGAATCCGTGCTGGGGGAGAAGCTGCAGTTTCGGGTGGTGACGTTGGCAGAGAAGCTGGCAGAGAAGCTGGCAGAGAAGCCAGTGCTAGCTGATGAGAGGTTCAGGTAAGGAGGGCTCTGTGCAGGGGGGCT